TCATAATAAGCAATTAGTAGAGCTCCGCATAGTACACTATAGGAAAATTATTATATGAAGGTTAGATTTAATGCTTGAAAAAATGTTTGAATGCATTAAAACTAACCTAAGTATAATAATTTTAAATAATAATTAGTAATACTATCTAATATTACGGTTACACATGGAAATCAGTAGCTCACCTAGGCCTAAAATTATCAAATTTAGTGAAATCAAACATGGTCTACCTACAAAGAACTTACTTTTGTTTGTCATCGCACATTAAAAAAAAAATTGGAGGCAGGTACCTAACATAACATAGGATCCGCTGTGTGTCCAGCAATTTTTGTAACATTCGTAACCGCCTGCATTCGTAACCATTTGCATTTTATTGGAAAAATTCGTAAGATTAATTATGAGCGTTGATTGGTAGCCGGCTCGTGATCAAAGGTACCGACTGGTACTGAGATTCAGTCACTTACCTCGGCAAACTATTTGATGACATAGTAGCTACTTTCAGTAGCCACAAAATTAGTGGACAGTGGGGAATAGGCAAATAACACTGGGAGTTGCAGTGATGATGTCACGATTGACTTATAAAGAATAGATAACAACAATATGTAAGCAAACACTTTATTACAATTCAGTGAGTATTCCAAAAATGTTAGTACTATAATTATTGTTAAACTTCAATCTATTGATAGGATTGATTGAAATAAATTTGTAGTTTGAGTATTTAGTATAAAATGCAATTGCACAGTGGTTTCAAACCCAGGGTTCACAGGCCCCAAAATATTGGGGTCTGCCAAGTCAAAAGAGTCAGCCGGGGGTCCACTAGACATTGACCATAAGTAAACTTAGAACTGCATGTCTGTTGAAGACTTTTAACATGTCCCAAGGGGCCTGCGAATACAAATAGGTTGGGAATCACTGCAATTAGCACATGGCCTCTGACCTGGCATGACAGCCCGACATAGCCAATGGGACAGTTGCATTCCTCCACTGTCAGCACCTTCTCAACACCTTGGTCTGCAGCTATGTCTAGAGAAACATTCATCAGACTGAAAAATATATAGATGAAGATTAAAGCATGGGAAATTGCAGGGGCAGATGCACAAAATCAAGTTTTGTTTTGTTTGTTGGTTTTTGTTTTGTTTTTTTGTCTTTTGTTTTGGGGGTTGTGTTATTTAACAAATGATTGGAATTATGATGTTAAGGTAGAAAAAAGTTTTAACATTAATATGGGCAATACACCCCGTCAAGCTTACCATTTTGGGACCCTTGATCACTTCATTTGAGGTAATACAGAAGAAAAAACTATCGCACTTTTCTTTGAAACTTACCTTGAGTATTCCATTGAAATGTGGTACTGTGCTCGGATCTGTAACATCCTTAGGTTCGCCAGCACCATCATAAGGTCTTCACGAGTGACCTGCCCACCACCCAAGGTGTACTGGAAATTACCCTAAACAAACAAAAAAAAAACATATCTATTAATTTGTAGCAAACAATTTTAAGAATAAATAATTGTACTGGGCCCACTAGTAGAACAGTAACATTTTACTGAAGTAAAATACCCAGTATAAAGAACAAATAAAGAATAATTATCAG